TCGAATTACCACGCGTCGAATTACTACGCGTCGAATTACCACGCATCGAATTACTACGCGTTGAACTCCCACGCATCGAATTACCACGCGTTGAATTACCACGCGTCGAGTTACCACGCGTCAAATTACCACGCGTCGAATTACTACGCGTTGAACTATCACGCATCGAATTACCACGCGTCGAATTACTACGCGTTGAATTATCACGCGTTGGACTACCACGCGTTGAATTACCTTTGCTCCGAATTACCACACGTCGAAATACTACGCGTTGAACTAAACACGAAGCTTCACATTCCACCTTTGCAAAGAAGACCCATTTTCTCAAATACCTACGTCTCTAAATTCCTATATCTTCAAATTCTACAGTGATCAAATCCCCATATTTTTAAATATCCACATCCCCATATCTCTAAACCCCCATATCTAAGTACTCCTCAATATCTACAGTACAAAATAAGTAAATCTTACGTCCCATTTAACAAGTTTGATATTTCATTTTTATTACCTATCACCAATCACATCAATATAGTATCGATCGTCGATAAAAAGCAGGAGGGCTATAGTCAGACAATATAATTAGGCGATACAGCAACCGAGATTGCCAGGGTCTGCGAGGGCGAAAAGGAAGGACTGTCGCTGACGTCAAACGTCGCCCCGTTTCCCCATTCCAGGTTCACGGTTGCGGAATATTTTTTTTAAACCGCGCGTTTACACTCTCGCGGGTTTCTTAATGAAAAATTCATTCCCCTCGTGTTTCTCTCGATACGAAAAGGTCGGCAGCGCGAAACAAACAGGTTTACGACACGCGCGTTTTCTGCCCGATGTATAACGAGCAATCTCGAGCGGCGCGAATGAAAATTCATGAAATCATGAATAATAACTCTGCCTCCTATTTTTCCTTGGCCGTTAGTAGACTGTCCAGATTCCGAATGGATCTTGACCAAAAAATTCTGCGAATCATACGGTAAATTAAAGCAATGGCTCGCTCTTTTTGCGGGAGCTGATATTCTTGCTAGCTCGACGTTCACTGCGGCAGAACGATGTCATTCGCCAAATGGCGTATCCTTGGTCATTTTCGTCGGAACGACGCCACCGCGATCCTGAACTCGTTTCCTGAACTGGCCAGTGCCAACCATTTCAATTACCGAATCTCTGATAGACGATCTTTCTTGAAAAATTACTCGATAAATTGCTAAATAAATGGCAAATCAGGTAATTCAGAGTCGAATTTGTTATGTTGATTAAACACTTTATTTTGTACTTTGAGGACCACATTAAGACATTTAACCAGAAGTCGAACTTTAGATCTATGTTAAATGTGTGAATATGTT